AGCGTGTGTGTGTACTTTTGCAGGGCTGACTGAGCCGCGTGTGCATGTGTCATTGAGTCTTTCTATGGCTTTGTCTTCTTTTGTCCATTACTTTCCAAAAGCATTTTTAAAGTTTTGCAAAACGTCTGGTAAAATATTTATAAAACTATAAAATAACATGGCTTAATTTGGTTAATGAGTGGGTAGTATACACTGATGAGGTCATATACATGCAAAATGCATCCTGCCTTAGGTAGATCCCAGTTAGAGTCTTTCTGATTGGATGCTAACAGTGTCCATCAGGCAGCCTGGCCTTTGGGATTTAAGTTGCAAGTGTGTGCCCGCCCCCTGTGCTGGCCCAATACTTGTGGCATGTAGTCCATCTGTGTTTCTGTCACACATTGTCACCCACATTCAGCCAGAGTAGTAAATCAAATCTGTAAAGATTAGACGTTGATGAAAGGTGTCGTGGACCAGCAGGTGAGGGAGATGGACCTAATCCAGCACCTTTCTCTCAGAACCTTTTCCTTATTATTAGTTTCATTATGGTTGCATGGTAGTAAGAAGGTAGAAAGGCAGTGTGTGTCTCATACTGCAGCAGCCTGCTTCCAGTCACCTGATTAGCACGTCATCTATCTGCCCCAAATCTGCGTTTCCCACAATCATCTCCACGTGTCACCTGCCCCCCCCCCCCCCCCCCCCCCGCCCCTCTGCCCCCCCCCCCCCCCCCCCCCCCCCCAACCAGAGTCATCGGATCCCCCCTCCCCCCCGCCTGACAACAGGGTGCGTCATCCTCACACAGCTGCTCGTTGCGTTGGGCAGCCCCCCAGCGGTGTCTCTGTCATCAGGCTGATTGCGGGATTAGCATCGGAGCACGCTGCTCTAATGCGGAGTCTGGCATCCTGAATCCTCTGACACGCAGAGCGACACGCAGAGTGACAGAGCATGTTTTCACAGATCCAACGCGTGACCTTTGACCCCTGCAGACTGTGCCACAGGGGAGCCTATCCTGTCATTTATCTTTGGCGAAAATCTCAGCTGCATGACTCACGACTTCTGCGTTCTCGGGCTTTTCCCCAAAGAGACTTGGCTTGCAGTGGTAGAATTTGTTCCGCTCGATTGTGACTATCCGTTCACATACACATGGTATTCTTTTTAACAGTGGTGCCCCTGCATGACAGCCAAGGCTAATGGTTAAATTATGGCTCCGGAAAACAAATTGGCAAAGATGCCTGTGGCTGTGACGCTACACTTCGGAAGTGGCCTTCCTCAGCCCCCAGCAGAGGTGTCGTGGGGGTGCCGGTCCCTCCAAATTACAATGCATTTCAGTCAGCACAGTCATCGGGAAGAGTGCATATTTTACTTTAAATCTCCCAAAGGACTTTCAGATTCATCTCCGTAACCTTAAAATGCTGCATCTTTACTTTTCAGTTCTACTCTCTGATTCTTGTCATTACGACGGGAGTTTTGCGGTTGCCTGGTTTAACGTCTGAGCTCGCAGCTGCTACGGCATGCGGCCGCTGCCAGATCCGCAGGCGCGTCTGCAGAAGCCCGCCGTGCCCGACACTCGCAGCAAACACGTGTGACTGTGCGGGGGAGTACAGCCAAGCATGGGGCCGTCCTGCGTTACATCAGCAGACGTTCTAAAGGGTGTCTCGTGTAGTAACCCAGAAAATTATTCCGACAAACATCTTCTTTGTCCGGTGACTAGAGGAACAGCACATGAACAAACAGAAAGTTTCCGGGGGACAGAATGTCACGTCTAAGCTAATTAGGAAGTAAATTTGGAACATGCATAGCTGGTGGGGAGGGAAGTACCGTGCTGGACAGCTGAACCTGAACTCGGACTTCAAGCCCAGATGTGGCTGGTCCATTTTCAAGGTCCTGGATGAACTGACTCGGACTTTGTCAGGTTCTGGATGGACTCGTCTGAACCTTCCAGGAGCACACTGTGGCTTTCTTTCCAAAGACATAAGAAACATCCATCCATCCATTATCTATACCGCTTCATCCACCGGGGTCGCGGGGAAGCTGGAACCAATCCCAGCAGCTGTGAGGCGCCAGTGCTAACCGCTGCACCGCCGTGCCGCCCACATGAGAAGCAGTGTGGACAGAAAACAGAGACTGATTTTGATGGCTGTGATCCATGTCGCATGCGGAGAGGAGGACTGCATGCGGTAATAGATTACAGGACTTTGCCAGCCACGTTTACAGACACCCCCACATCACACCCAAGTGCGCCGGATGACTTCCGTGGCCCATGCGAGCACTGCGATCGTGGCGTGACATCATCTCAAGCAAAGACCACTCTACAGGCCGACATGAGGAAACCCTCTAAAGAGGTTAGATCTCACAAAGCTGCGAACCTTGACAAAATCTCGTCATGCGTCATGAAGGCCCGTGCTGAGCAGCGGTCGTAGATGTACTCCAGTGTCTTCAGCAAGTGCCTGTATGTTTTGTGCAGTGCCGTTGTGCTTCAAGAAGGACCTTTGCCAACTAAAGCTCCCTAAATAACTTCTAAGCTCTTATGTAAGTCGCTCTCGCTAAGGGGCGTCTGCCAAATGCCGAGGAAGTAAATGTAAATGACTACGGTCTCAACACTTTAACCTTTTATAGTTTTGAAGTGTCGTACATTAACCACCACATGCCTACAGTCTTGGATTCATTCCAGTGCACATTTCCGCATAACATATCCCTGGATGATGCAATCTCACCCGCCCTGCACACTACCCTCGGGCATGTAGAAAAGGACGTGTACAATCAGGATGCCGCTTGTTGACTTCAGTTTGGTGTTTGACGCCAACTCTGCCATCCATCCTGTTGTCAAAGCTAAGAGACCCTGGTCTGATCTGCTCTCCTTGAGAATGGATGTTTGAACATATAGACCCCAAACAGTGAGAACTGCCAACAGGAGATCATCCACATTAATCGTCAGTACTGGCGTTTCACAAAGCTGCCACCTCAGCTCACTGTTTTGCAGTCCGTTCACCCAAGACTCAATGGCAAAGTGTGAGGGCAAAGGCATTATCGAGTTTGCTGACGACACCCCCATGATTGGCCTTTTCAGTAACGATGATGAGGCTACTTAAAGGAGGGAGGTAAAAGACCTGAATGTATGCTGCCATGAAAAGCAACTTTTCCCTGAACTTAAAGAAGACCTCTCACTACTCATCAATGGATCTTCCGTAGAGATAGTCAGCAGCTTCAGGTTCCTGGGCGTCTAGATCACAAACTCCCTCTCATGGTCTCTAAACATCAGCTGTATTATCAGCTGAGGATGTTCTTCCTGAGGAAGCTGAAGAGCTTTGGGTTGGAAACCAAAACCTTGATGAACTCACTATACCATTGAGAGCTTCCTGACTGCATCATGATGTGGTTGGGTATCCTAACCGCATTGGACCGCAAAGAACTGTCTGGACAGCTTCAAACATCTTCAGCACAGATCTTTCACAGCTAAAATCAATCTACATCTCCTGCTGCCAGAAGAAGTCATCATCAGGAATGGCAGCCACCCAGCTCACGCTCTCCTGGCGCTCCTGCCCGCTGGGAAGCGTGTCCAGTGCAGCATTCCCTGCACCACCCATTCAAGAGACGGTTTCTTCCCTCAAGCCATCGGGGCATAAAAAACATGTACCGGTCCACCCTATTGTATCTTCCAACACTTTATAGCCAAGTGACGACAAGTGGCCTTTATTCTCATACCATTCATATACAGGCCATGCATAAGTATAGGGTGGCACAAGGTGGCATTGCCCCAGGAACCACGGTATACAGCGGGGCTATTCAACTCAGGCCCTCGATTCCAAATCCAGGCCTTGTTTTCAGTTCTCCCAGGTGGGGGGGGGTTGGTACTATGGCTGAATACTGCAGGCTGCAGACATATGCTATGGATTCAGATGAACTCAGGAAAGTTTTTTAAGTCACAAGTGTTCAAGACAGGAGCTAAAGTTCACCTGAGAGTGTGACAAGATCGAGTCCAGTTAGTGATCAGTTCCAGTCCAGGAGGGCGCAGTCAGTACCCTGCGGAATGGTTAGAGGTTAAGGTGGGAAGCAGAGTATTCACTGTCCTGACAGCCTCGGGGGAGAAGCTGTTGCTGAACCTGGCAGAACCCGTACCTTCTGTGTGACAGCAGCGCTGCTGTATGCCGGTTAGTTTGCATGTCACACAAAGCTACCCCAGGCCTGGCCTGCACCAATGTCAGTGTCAGCGCTGCATGCTATGGATCACGAGGAGACCATCGATAAGTTACGCTGAGACATTTTTACTGTCTTAGGAAAGAAAGCAGCATATTTATATCAGACTGGCACATTTGTCAGCAATTTAGCAAAAATGAGTGAGGAGGAGAAAAGCATAAAAAATATTTTGGATTCCGTAGTATTGATGAAAAAACTAGTGATTCGTCGGCACTGTTTTCTGTCGGTCGGTGCGGCTCACAAACACACCGGCACTTATTATGCAGGCTCTGTTGGTAGAGAATAACAGGTGCTATTTTACTATAGTTTATTTTGGGTCAGTTTTCAACTCCTTTTTTGTTATGTGAATATCACAATATTCATTGCAAAAAATCTAATATCACAATGATTTTTTTTTCCCAAAATCATGCAGCCTGTTCATTGCTTATTACGCTGTATTTTTATTCTCATCATGCACACTTGTCCTGCACCGTCTTGTCTAGCATTGCATCTTGCCTACAACTGTTGCCTAAGAATTTCACAATGTTCCCTGAATACGTCACAAAAAAAAAAAACTTGAAACTTTAAAATAAAAGAGTCCTGGAACATCAGCTTCCTTTTGATGCAGCCATCCATGTCACAGATGGTAACATGCCAGAGGCCCCCTTGTTACCGTAGCGATCTGGACAAACAGGTAGATGAATACGTGCCATGTTTATCGTGACAGTCAGACAGAATGGATTACTGGGAGTGCTGGAGGGGGTGGGTGGGGGGGGGGCGCTGAGGGGGAACAGGGGAGAACTGCCCTGGTTGCTATGGTTTCCCATCTCGTTTTCTTTTTTTTTTAGACTTCGGTACCTGAACCCGGAGGAAGCCAGACCTCGGAAAAAGCAGATGACGACAACGAGGTTTTTGGTAAGCAGCTCGTCCACAATGCACTGAGGAATTACAGGGTAGCTCTGGATGCAGCATCCGTGTGCTGCGGTGCTGTAAATCACCAGTAGGGGGTGACAGCTAGTTGCCTCCTGTGCCGACGTATTGGTCGCGTGTCAGACTGCCATTCTCCCTTTGATTAGTGGTGCTGTACCTACTTAGATGAGGATTCCCTGTAAACCTGGGAGGAGACCAGCTGTTGCAGCCCCCCAGACCTGTATAATCGGAACAATCTCCTTTAAAAAAATTAAGTAAAATATTAAACTGAAGCCACTTTAGATAAGAGAATTAATAAATAGTCACTTTGGATCTCTATGATTCACAGAGACTTTAGCACAGTATTTTCAGTTCCCAGCTGTTTATATTTTTATTTTTATATAATCCCTTCCCCCCTCATCTCTTTTCCCTTCTCTGCCCCCAACCCCTGTGTATTGTCTGGATTTTGACAATTTTCCTTTTGTTTTTTAATGTTGTTCTCGTGCTGAACCCGTCCCGCCATTCCATTCCGCGGGTGCCTGCGCTGACCCTGGGGGGCAGTTATTCCACCATTTCCAACGCAGTGTTTCTCTTAGCTTGATTATGGTTAATTATACACTTAATGGAAGGCATGTAAATATAATAATTAAAACCATTACATTAGACAAAAAATGTCAGTTATCCACGTGTATGTGTGTTTGTGTGTGTGTGTGTGTGTTTGTGTGTGTGCGAGTGAGAGAAAGAGAGAGACAGGTTGAGCAAGTTGCCCTGATATGTTTGACCATTGTGGCATTCAGGACTGGAGGGAGAGCGCCGCCCTGTTGGTGACTGCACCATGGGAATGTGGTGACCTCTGTCGACCTGTGCACAGTCCTACCCCATTACTGCACTCTCATTGGTTAACAGCAGCCTGTTGTTCTCTCTGTCCTCATGGCCTGCTGCTATGAATGAATGACACAGGGACGGGTCCTTCTGTGGGTCCCCATGTGTGGATTGGTCCAGGAGTGCATCCAAAGTACAGCCATACATAGAAGAAAAAGCCCCCCCCCCAAAAAAAAAAAAAAAAGAAAGGTCACTTTTATCCAGCTACACTGTGTTTTGCAACAGATTGCGGGCGCCAGAGGAAGGACGTGTCTTGCTGTTGGTCTGGTGCTGCCAATTAAGGCAGCAGTTACGTGAACGCCGGCGCGTGATCGTGTTCAGGAGCCCGGTGCTAATGGTAGCCTTTGGTGGGGCCCATAAGCGGAGCAGCCTTTTATTTAAATAAAAGAAAAAGAACAGAACCAACCGTCTGCCGTTCTCTTCCGTTTTATACTTCTGCATGGACCGAGTTAAACATTTTTCCATCCTTTGACGGAATCCATAAAGCGATCAATCCCAGAGTGTAGTATTAAGGTCAGGTTGGAGAATAAATATTTAAAGGTGGACATTTTAAGGACTTGAAGCTATGTGCGTTATAAACAGGGGTGAGTTGAGTGTGACGTGCGTGGTTACACGCTGCCCTGGAAGACTGCGCTCAAACGTCTTTCTGATCTGCTTGTACTCACTACATCGGGCAAAAAGCCAGAAAGGCGGGCATGCGTGCGGCAGTCCTGCATGAGTCAGAGTAAGACTGAGAAGCTTTGAATGGCTAAACTATAAAAATAAGGCTGACCTGGGCATTTTTACCTGTCATTACGGTACCATGGTGAATGTCTGTTAGGACAGTACATGTCAGTCCTGCTTTACACACACACACACTTCAGCCATACAGAGCCCCCCCCCCCCCAGTTCATCAGGCTGTTCATCTCGCTCATCGTTGAGTAGCAAACTCTGCCACAGGTAAATGAAGGGAGGGTGAATTGAAGCAGGCAATTAAAGCAGAGCAAAAACAAGCCGACCTGGTTACCATGAGTGCTGAATCGATAGAAGAGCCATTTTGTCTGCCGTCCAGACGGAAGCTGCTTGGGCTGTCATGCCAGAGCTGGGGGGGGGAGGGGGTGTTGCCAGGTAACTGCTTAGGAAGGTAAACAGTCCTGACTGTGTAAGACGCGCTGATCTGGCTTCTGGCGTCAGGGCGATGACCTCACCCCTCCCCGGCCTCCAGTGCCACATGTGATCATGTGATTTGGCCTTTTCTAAACACTCTCTACCGAGTCCATTACTGGCCCTGGCTGAAACACATTTTAACATTTTTGACTAATCAAAACGTATTATAATGTAGTTTTTTTTGCAGGCTGGTGAAGCATTTTTCACTTCTCTGTCTGAAAAATTTGCCATTTAAAATAGTTTTTTTTTTAATTATTTTCAGCTCTGATTAAATCCATCCATATTCCTAAAGCTTATACTAGATTTTTTATGCCATTTAACTGAATTGGTTTAATTTTTTGTTATGACTTGTTGTTTCAGGCTGGTTTGTGATTCATGATGACATCACTGTTTTATTTCTGAATAATATAATCCCCACCCCCCAACACCTTTTCATTATTTTAAACTCAGTCTCAGTCCTTAATCACCAAGACCGTCCTTATCCATTATAATCAGAGTTGCCCTTTTTAAGACACATCCTGAAGAGACATGATCTCAATAACCTCATCATCTCATTAATATCTGTATCGTGCGTGTGTGCGTGCATGCGTGTGTGTATGTGCGAGCGGGTTTACCTATCCTTATGGGGACACAATGTCCCCATAACGTGATAAATATCCGTTTTTTTTTTCCCCTATGAGGACCGGTTTCTTGGTCCCCATAAGGGAAAACTCTATTTTATAAAAATTGGTGACTGCTATGAAAAAACTAAAAATGCAAAAACTCTTGTATTTTGTTTGGTTACTTATGGTTATGGTTAGGGCTGGGTGGGGGTTAAGGTTATCATAGTTAGCGTTAGCATTTTTCCCATTGAAATGAATGAGTGGTCCCCATAAGGATATGTTTACCCTACATATGCGTGTGTGTGTGTGTGTGTCTGTCTGTGTGTGTGTCTGTGTGTGTGTGTGTCTGTGTGTGTGTGTATATATATAATATGTGTGTGTAGATATAAGCATAATTGGACCATTTGGTTTTTCTGGCTCTCAGGGTATCCTAAACAGGATTTTAGATTTTGGCCATCTGGTGGAAGTAACCAATCATATTATCAGGGGATGATTAATGATTTAATTATTTTTAAGACCTGCAGAAGATCTGTTTGGCTGTCTGTGTTTTCACATTTTCCATTTTGAAGTAACCGATACGGAGGTGTTGAGTCATTGTATCCTGCAGAGCCTGAGGTGGATTTTGAGGGCTTTTATTGTGTTTCTCTTAGTTTTGGGGTTTTTTTAGACCAGAGAAGTTGTTTTTTGTTTCTCAATAATGCATTTCTGACTGATGTATCTCACTCAGCACAGGGTTGCGAGAGACTTCTGATGTTCGGTGTGACCAGTGAAATTTCTTCACGGTGACATTTTGTCGACCATTTGCTGCCACGGTTTGGTGCCGGGAGTGCAGCCACAAGCCGCAAGCCGCCAGGCAAAGTGTATTTAGCGTGCGAAGCTTAAGGCCGGCGCATGGATGCGTGTCGCTTTGTTTGAGTCTGCAATCTGCTCCGGGCCATTAGCCGGACCCGGCTTTCGGACCCGTGCCGCCCTTAGCTGTGTACTCAGCGGACCCGAGTAAACAGGCAGACGCCAAATCGTCAGCTTTTTAAAAAGACATTAGGAGTCCATTAGCAGGCGCTCGGAGCGCCGTGTGCACACAAAGCCGGCACGTTTTACCCCATATGCCCCCCACCGGCCGCTCGGCCCTCCACCCCCCCGGATTGGTCTCACGGTTTTACTGCATCCACCCGCGCCGACGGCCCGTCTAGTCCGCTTTACTTTATGTCTGCACAGCACGTTCCCTAATCCTTCTGCATTCTCTCCCAGAATGTAGTTACTGTGGGCTAACTCTGCCCCCTGCTCACGTATCTCCAGGGTTTCTGGTGTCTCAGTCTAAACTCGCCTCTTTGGATCGGATCGCCCTCATGTTTCATTCTGACCACGTCATCCCCCCCCCCCCCCGATTTTAATTTAATGCTTCATCTGCAGTAACACAGTAGTGTATTACCTGTCTGTCAGCTTGTTCTTCATATGAACTTATGAATATAGGGCGCCATTCGTGTAAGGATGGGATTGGCTGGCCTGATTTTTTTTTTTTGGTCTGCACTATTCTCTGTTAACCACTAGAGGTGCCATTGTCAGCTTAAACCACTCACAGCAAGATACCAGGATTTAACTAAGAGATGTGGAAGGGCCCACAGACTTGCCAAGGACTTACTTTCAACTAAAGAAACGGCAGCTCTGTTTCACAGTCCGGATCTCCAGAGTCCTCACCCTATCGCCGAGCACCAGCCTGACAGTCCTGCAGAGAGACCTCATTTCAGCCGCCTGCACTTGCAACCTTGTCGTTACAGTCATTACCCAGAGCACATGAGGTGAGGAAAGGATGCATCCTCACTACGCTCAATAAACCTACGGCGGCCGCCGGTCTGCCTGTCTCGCTCATGCTTCTTCTCCGCATGGCTCGTAAACAAGATTCCTAGGCACTTAAACTCCTTCACCGAAGGCAGACTCTGGCCCTCACCTTAGAGGAGCAATCGGCTCTTTTCTGATGGAATACCACGGCCTCAGATTTGGAGGTGCTCAGTCGCGCCCCTGGCGATTCGCACTCTGCGTCGAGCGGCTCGAGGATGCACCGGAGGTTCTGCTCGGATGAAGCACTGGGAGACACACCGTCATCTGCCAGTAGCGGGGGTGTCCCCTCCAGCCCGCCATTTCAGCCTCAGCTGCACCTCGTTACCTCCTTCATGAACATTACAGACGGGATGAGAAAAGCTGCACCTTTGCAGGAGGCCAACACTCACACTGCATGACCCTGAATGCGTGTCAAGCATGCGGACACAGATTCTACTGCGTTCGTACAGGGACACAATGGCATCCAGCCGCAGCCCATGGGCATCTCCAGCAGTATCTGCCTGGGCACATGGTCATATTCCCGCTGCATTTCCACAAGGC